TTTTTTTTCGAGAGATCGCTCGTTTTTTCATCCTTGTGAATTTGGCACCGTTTTTCCGCCGCAGTGCATTTGTTTTTTTATACTTTTAGTTGTTTTTCTACATCCTCGAACTTTTGAAAGATTAATCGTTCACCTTTTTTTACATTTGAGTTTACTCTTGATCTGTTTGCGGACGATGCACTTCTAGTTGTCTATTTTGAGTGCTGTACAAACATTACGCTTTTTTTCTCGGCTGCCTATGATCTTGTTCTGAATCGCATATATATAGTGCATATCGGGTTCGAAGTTTTTCTGAAGAGTTGTGTCGGTCGTCGTATGTAGAAAAAGTACGCCATTTGTTTGTGAACCACTTCACAGTCGTCATTTCAGGTGCAAATTCTCGAGATTTTACTTGTGTAATGGACAAATTGTGCCAATAGTTACGACTGGCCGTGTTGTTTTATTTCAATAGAGTAAGTACATTTATGTTTTTCAAGTGTCCATAACACTACGATGCAAACTAATTCATCATCTTTTTGATTTGTCGCAAAGAGTCAATCTGAATCGTTTACAGTTCCATTTTTTACTGTAAGTGTTGTTTGATTCAGTTCTGGAACTCTGATTTGGTAATCTTGTTTATGAAAATCGCTACAACGTATCAATTCCATTTATGCAACCGGTTTTGATGTTATAGTCAGATTGGACCCATAAGGTAGGAAGAGAAGGGTTTCAAGGGTCGAAAATCGCCGGAAAGTTTTTTTTGACTGCCTGCCAATAATTCCTTCACTGCCCACGTAGAATTGGGTCGGGAGTGTCGTGACTCTTCGACATCAAAAGTTTCTTTTTTACCTAAGCTTAGTTCTGGATCAAGCTGAATTTTGAGTAATGACCCTCAGTTATTTGGAAGTAAGAAATTTCTAAAGGAATTCCTATCTCTGATATTTTCCCCCGTCGGCCAGCGTTGAACTTGTAGATTGGAAGTAGTAGTAACAAAAGCAACTTTGTTGTGGTCACAGTCACGGGCATGTCGTTTGAGTGGATGAAATTTCTTCTCGAAATTCTTTGGAGGCTGACGTTCCATCCTGAGGATTCATGCTTTGCAACCTTTTTCGTGGGCTAAAGTGTCATATATTTGAATATTGCCAAATTTAGCGAGACGTTGCATGACAGATATCAATAGAGGTTCTTCTTCATCTTATTTCTGCATCCTCTTAGGAATGCGGTGCAACCCAATAATTAGAACTGCCACTTCTGTAGCACGACGGATGATTCACTTTCTTGCGCACTGAGAATTCTGCATTCTTTCGTGCGACATTCAAATGTTGATTTGCTCGCATTTCGGGTTTATAGGCAAGCCTTGTGTAAGCTCCAGCATATTTAGAATTATAAGTAGTAATGAGAGAAAGCTGATTGTTAGTTATCGGAATTCTACTTCATTATTTGCGTGGTTTTGCTGATTTTCTACGGTTTAATCAGTGAGATCCTAATTTATTAAATGCTAGATATTTGCTATTTTTACAGTAAGTAATGTCCGGTCGCCAACTTCACACTGGCTTCCCTGGCACCAACACTCTACATTCGGAGCAATGCCGTGCCGAGATACAACGATTCGAAAGCGTACACCCATGTATTTACCAGGTACTGGTTGGCTTTTGAACAGTGGATTGTTTTTCGTTGCCCTCATTGTCTTCATCTTTCTCTTATCGAAATGGATTTGAAGTTCCTATTCTTGTGTTTTCATTTGCTTTCATTTCATCTGTAATTCCTCATTGATTAGGGTTTGGCTCACATTCACTTTTGGTATAGAGGTTCTAGTTATTTGAGATGAAAATAGAGGGGAGCGAGATGGTGAGCTATGTGTAAGCTTATCTAATTTAGCTCTATTTGATCTGCCTCTGAGCTAGTGACTGACATTTTTTTACTGAGCCATCAACAGTCATCTTCATTGACCAAGTCTTTTAGCAATTCCTTGTTTCAATACAAACCATGTCACTACTTTTTCTGTTTGTAGTCATGGCGAATGGCAATTTGGCTTTCTGTTAGTATATTGCTGGTTGGTAATGGTTGTTGTTGATTCTGAGCAAGGTGATGCATGAAGTTTTGTGAAGAGGGTTCCTTGCATAACCTCACCTCCCTCTCTCCTCTTCAGCTTACTTCACACCGTATTACCGTTCTCCTTTAACGAAAAACGCTGTTGAGGGATAGTATTGGAGATGGTTCACGCACAGCAGCAATAATGCCAAACTTTTTTTTTGTTTTTTCATGGTTACATGGTCACCCCATAATCTTTGCGAATCACTAATACCATCTGAGCCCCGTATGTGAATCTGCCACATAACTCTGACCCCGGATAAGAGGGTTATTCTACATAAGGTTGATGATCAGTGTCAAAAAAGGTTTCAACCCCCGTTTAGTTGTTCCATTGCTGTTCCATCCCTTATAAGAATATTTGACCAACTTGTATTTGTTAATTTTGACATTTCAGATTTATGACATGTTGGAATGCCTCCCACTTCCTCCAGAATACGCTCATATGAGGGACGAAATTCGGGATCAAGTTGTTTGCATTGAAGGTTTGCTCCTGCGATATTTCTCGATTCTTCTTAGTATTACATTTTTTGCAGCACACGTGATACGTTTCATTCAACCTAATTGTTTCGCTCGTTACTGTTTTTGTTTAGCCGTCTATGGAAGTCTACATCTTATTGGAACTGTGTTTTAACTTCGACACTGATTTTTTTCTGAAACCCCAAGATTTTTAATTAATTGGGATTTTCTATTTGTGGATTCACTATCAAAATTATGTTTATGGGATGACCACGAAGTTGTTGACAAAATATCCGCTGCAATCATTGCTCTTCATCAGAATTGATTTTACGGCGTAGTCTCCCAGATGGATTCAATATGGTTTCGCACGTGTTGGCAAAAGAAGTTTGTGCTTTTGAAAAGATCTTCAAAAAGGGGGACGGGACTAAGGGCATACTACCACACTATTGTTTCCCTTTGGAGTTTCCTTTTGAAGTTTCCTCGAAATGTCCTTTCGTATGAAATAATTCACGGGTAGATGGATGGTGCTTTAGTTATCATCTCATTGTTAGCAGTTTGGAGAAAGGTTTCCCACAATTCAAGTTTTTATCATATCTATCTTTCTATTGATTCGACCACGCTCGGTCTCAGACTTGGTTGTGGGAAGAAGCAATCTTCTAGTTATCCATGCTCGTGTTTCAAGGCGTTTTCCCCGTGGTTATTTAGAACCATGTTGCAATGTGAGCTTATTGAAAGGTGTAAGAATGGGAGGCAGAGGGTTCGAGTAAAAGTGAAACACATTATTTGACTTTTCAGACTTTGCTGTAAGAAGCGGAGTCCAGTTACGTTTGATTTTTTTGCTTCTTTTTGCTTTACTGCATGTAAAAGTACACATGCTCTGGGAAACTTATGTTCAGTTTTCTCACCAGGTCCTCGCGTGAGGGAGCATCAGGTGAAGGTTGTATAGAGCGTCACAATTTTGCTAGTTAAGGTCGGAAACACACTGAGTAATGCATGAAATGTGAATGATAGTAGTAAGTACGACAGAAAACAACCGACAGCTGTGTGAGTTGATCATTTTTCTTCGATCGAGCTGCATATATAAAATGAGACCGGCAAGATGTAAACACTGCGGCAGAATTTTATGCCGCCTCATGTGAGTTTTGGGTTCTATCTTGGACGAAATGGAGCATTGCCCTTCTTATCTTGATTCTCTTGAGGATATCGTCCTCTCAAAGTAATGATTTGAAGTGAAACTTTTACAAAATCTTCGTATACGTGTATTTATCGAACGTTCCTTCTACCCGAACATTACAATATGTAAGTAAAATGATTTCATCAAGTAATTTGCTATTTTTCTTGCTTTATGAGCATATAGAAACGGTTATGGTGTATGGAACCGTTGCAAGCGTGTAGGCTAACCAAGTGCTACCTTGTTACGATGAGTTTTTCACTGACGTATCGTTGGGTTTGAGGTAAAGATGTTATTGTGGACCCAGGGTTTAATATTTTACCCATAAAAATAGTGAACAATACAGGATGTGTTTTTCTGTGACCTTCAATTACAGTAACTCATTCTCACTCAAGCAGAACATATTACCGTTCTCTTGAATTGTCAGATTCTCATGTTGCTCTCAGAAAACGTCCTGGGTATGCGAGGCGTTTCAGTTCGAATTTTCGGAAAGTTGTTTAATTTGTGAGAACCGAATTAATGATTGAGTCACGGTATGTTGGGTTCCGCTTGTTTTTATTGTTACAAAAGAAATCCCTCCAGGAATGTCTTTCATGTAGCAGACGGCGGTTTCAGGTGGAAGCATTTTTATANTTGGGTTTGAGGTAAAGATGTTATTGTGGACCCAGGGTTTAATATTTTACCCATAAAAATAGTGAACAATACAGGATGTGTTTTTCTGTGACCTTCAACTACAGCAACTCATTCTCATTCAAGCAGAACAAGATATATTCGCTTGTTTGTTACCGTTCTCTTGGATTGTCAGACTCTCATGTTGTTCTTAGAAAACGTCCTGAGTATGTGAGGCGTTTCAGTTCGAATTTTCGGAAAGTTGTTCAATTTGTGAGAACCGAATTAATGATTGAGTCACGGTATGTTGGGTTCCGCTTGTTTTTATTGTTGCAAAAGAAACTCCTCCAGGAATGTCTTTCATGTAGCAGACGGTTTCAGGTGGATGCATTTTTATGTTGTAGTTAGCTGTACTTCAGGAAAAATCTAACCGACAAAGCATGCGAGTGTAAAATATTACTCATAACTTTTGAAATTATCTTCAATCATTAGAACGGTCACTCTTTCACTTGGCTTGAATACGACGTCAGAGGCTCGTTCATCAAATCACCGTATTCGTAGTTACTCGTCCTCAACCGAGGTTATCATTGAATCAGCCATTGCTATCTCAGAGCATAGGCTTGTCCTTCAAAGCAGACTGAAATGGACCTCTGAAAAAAGCTTGATTGTTTATTATTTCGTGCCTGACGACTCGATGAAGGTCGATTTAAGTAGTTTATCTCCATTTTCAGTGTCTTCACTTACTTTCTTTATAGTGAAAAATTCTCTTCAAAATAGCTAACCACTATTTCGTTTAACTGGCAGGTTCCACCCGAGCTAAGATGCATTTAACCCCACTGAAGATGTTTTGAAAACATTTCTTTACCAGTAACTCAATCAGTTCGATCAATTCAGTACAAAGTACGTCGCTACAATTCTGATAATTTATGATAATGGCCGTTTTTCAAGCAACTCGAGGTTGTTTTCTTTCAGCAGGCATTCTATCAAGCGCTGTATTATACTTGACGACTAGTTCTGGGAATATCTGACAGGCAGTGGGAAAACTTCCTAGAAGTACTTTCCAACTAGTTCAGAATGTGTGGGGAAAATTCGCTTACAAAAGTAAGGAGAAGCTTTTCGAGAGTTGGGCACAAATTTTAAGGGAGCTGGAAGGATCAAGTCTTTAATGTAATATTTAAATATATAGTACCCTAATAGATGCTAACCAAAGGTACAAGGAAGTTTGTCTCCAAGATCTAATAAGGTTTCATTCAATGTTTTGAAATTTCTTATACAGTACATGTATCTTCTATATGTTTTTAAGCGTGTAAATGAAGTAGTTTAGGTTGTCCTGTGAAATGTTTTCTTTGTTCCGACATTTCGTGCGGTTCACGCGATGCGTCCTTGGACACCAAAAAACCTCCAATTCCATACAATTCGCAGTGAGGTGCTATGCCGAACTATAATCGAATTTTGTCCGTGCATGCTGGATTCTTTTCAAGGCATGTAAAATAGGCCTCAGTTGGTCGGAGGTGGTGTTTTTCCGTATCAAAGAACCTTTTTCGTTTTTTGATCTTCCCCCGTCTACAAGGAACTGTAGGTGAAAGTGCTGAAGCTGTAGAAACTCGGCATTTCGATGTTACTTACTCAGTATTCAAGTCAAGCAAAAGTAAAAGCATGAGGAAATTTTATTTCCTTCAACAAATCAGCACTCCCTCCCTCCCTCCCTCACGTATGTATATGTGCAGCCCGCTATTCGGCAATCTAGTTGTTATAGAAGAGTGGTCAATTGAAGGCTGGCTAGCGCGTCATCTTTCGTGCACTCTCCTTTCATGACCAGATAATCGGCCCTCCTCGATCGCATTCTTCCTCCCTCGATTCCGACGAGGCGCGACGATCGCCACTCGTGACAGTCGCGCGAGCGCGATCCAACTACACTTACGCGTGGTCAATCGTTTTTTCCGTGTTCGGAAGATTCGTGTATGACTTTTTCTCTTTCATTTGGTTCTAGATTTATTCATTCGGAGAAATCGAGCTCAAATTTTCGCCTGGTCGGAGAGACTCTTTCCTGAACCTGTTTTTTTCATTTCTTGAATTATTCCCTTCTGAGACGACGTAAATTTGCTTCTTGTTTCTCCAACTTGGACACCGATTATCCAGAAAAATGACCAAATTTTGTTCAACCTGAAAGGGTTTTTTAGGATCCTGTTTTTTCTGGATTAGAGGAAGGAAGACTGATATCCATTACTTCCAAGGTCACCTATTTCCATGGCAATCAATCTTCAGAAGTCTGCCACCATTTCAAAAAATGTAGACAAGAAATATGGCCCGTTGTTGGAACCAGGGTGGTTTGTTGATTTGAGCCATATTAGGGTAGGACTTTGGGTCTAAAAAGCGTTCTTGCTAAGCCAAATGCCACAGATGTGTAGTTATTTACAAGTAGGTATTATATATTGTTTTTGTTAATCAAGTCATTATTATTTGTTATATATTAGTTCTTTTTTGTCTATCGAAAATTAATATTAGATCGAGCAATGATCGACTATTTCAAGAAAAAAGATCGGAAGTAGGAAGCTAAGAGAGAGCCCATGCGTATGCGTTCGACAGCCGTCTTATAAAGAGTTTGGCCTTGTGTCAAGAAGCATCTCAACCCTCCACTAAGGAATTTTTCTGGCCAGCATTCCTCAACGGTTTCCGTGGCAAACAAAAGTTCCGGAAATCAATGTATTAGGAAAAGTTTGTGACCTTTTTAATCTCCCGGCTCACTCGATGCCTTTTCATTGTCTTTTTTCCATAACTTTTTTTACAGTAAAGATCGAAAATCTATTGGAAATTTTCTTTTACTGAAAATTTCTAGAGGTTCTGTTACCTAGTTTCCAGAGTTTTTTTGGGTCGCTTTCTCGGCCTTTAAGTTGAAAAGATTTCTCAGAATACAGGGTCGTAGTAGTTTTTCTGAAAAAAAGTGCAAAATCAATAGTACAGATATCGGTACAAATATTATAAACATTGATTTTCTTCGCATTTCATACAAATAAATATCTGTAAAAAATAATAGTAGTATAAATAAGTCTAATAAATATAGGGTCTCGAAAGTTTGGTGCAATCGAACGCAAGTGGGCAGAGGAGTTTGCTTTGTCGCTGTTTGGATGCGATAAGGTCATCCGCTCCATTTCACGTACTCAATTTTTTGCCCCATTACATTCCATCCTTACTGGTAATGTGATCGCTCTGCTGTGATCTTTCCAGCTCCGCATCCTGAAATTAACGTTACTAATTTATCCCCTATACGTGTTATTCAAAAATATAGCATGTTTTCGTGAACAGTGGCGAAGTTTCGCACTGCTCAGCATCGGGCGGACACTCATGTGTGTTTTCGGCGGGCGCTATCCCGTCTAGGCTGGCCCAAGAGGGGCGAG